AAGTAGAGAGACAACAGAAGTAGAGAGACAACAGAAGTAGAGAGACAACAGAAGTAGAGAGACAGAGACAACAGAAGTAGAGAGACAACAGAAGTAGAGAGACAGAGACAACAGAAGTAGAGAGCCAGAGACAACAGAATTGGAGTGACAGAGACACAGTGCTACATATGGTCTTCCTCTTAAAACATTGATGTAGTGTGATATACAGTATAACACAGGTTGACTTCTAATCCTAAAATTTTCCTCCATGGTGAATTGAAACTATACATGATATTTAACGATGAGATAAAACATGAGATGGCGACGTCTAAGAACGTTTTGGCCTCATGTGGAGTTCTTCAGTTCTTCAGTGTGTCTGATGGTTCCACCGGGTTCTGTCTGCCTCCTCAGGGACCCACTGTACCGTTTATAAAGTCCAGAAAGATATCCTCCTACTCCTCTTCGTCCATCTCCATGGTAACAGAGGGATCCCTGTCACCACCTGAAAAAGACAATGTTTCATACAGGAAAATAGTTTAATTTAATACATTCAAACAAAGTTCAACCCCCCCAATAAACGCAACATGCAACAATTTCAAAGATTTTACTGAGTTACAGTTCATATGAGTAAATCAGTAAATTGAAATAAATTAATTAGGCTTTAATCTATGGATTTCACATGACTGGGAATACAGATATGCATCTGTTGACCACAGATACCTTTAAAAAAATGCAGGGCCGTGGATCAGAAAACCAGTCAGTATCTGGTGTGACCATTTGCCTCATGCAGCACGACACATGTCCTTCGCATAGAGTTGATCAGGCTGTTGATTGTGGCCTGTGGAATGTTGTCCCACTCCTCTTCAATGGCTGTGTGAAGTTGCTGGATATTGGCGGGAACTGGAACACGCTGTCGTACACATCAATCCAGAGCATCCCAAGCATGCTCAATGGGTGACATGTCTGGTGAGTATGCAGGCCATGGAAGAACTGGGACATTTTCAGCTTCCAGGAATTGTGTATAGATCCTTGCGACATGGGAACGTGCATTATGATGCTGAAACATGAAGTGATGGCGGCGGATGAATGGCACGACAATGGGCCTCAGGATCTCGTCACGGTATCTCTGTACATTCAAATTGCCATCGATAAAATGCAATTGCGTTCGTTGTCCGTAGCTTATGCCTGCCCATACCATAACCCCACCGCCACCATGGGGCACTCTGTTCACAACGTTGACATCAGCAAACCACTCGCCCACACAACGCCATACACATGGTCTGCGGTTGTGAGGCCGGTTGGACGTACTGCCAAATTCTCTAAAAACAAAGTTGGATGCGACTTATGGTAGAGAAATTAACATTCAATTCTCTGGAAACAGCTCTGGTTCTATGCTGTTTGCCATCTGCCCGGTACAGTTGAAACTGTGATTCATCCGTGAAGAGCACACTTCTCCAGAGTGCCACTGGCCATCGAAAGTGATCATTTACCCATTGAATTCGGTTATGACGTGGAACCGCAGTCAGGTCAAGACATTTACATTTTAGTCATTTAGCAGATGCTCTTATCCAGAGCGACTTATAGGAGCAATTAGGGTTAAGCGCCTTGCTCAAAGGCACATCGACAGATTTTTCACCTAGTTGGCTCGGGGATTAGAACCAGCAACCTTTCGGTTACTGGCACAACGCTCTTAACCACTAAACTACCTGCCGCCCCTGGTGAGGATGACGAGCACGCAGATGAGCTTCCCTGAGACGGTTTCTGACAGTTTGTTCAGAAATCCTTCGGTTGTGCAAACCCACAGTTTCATCAGCTGTCCGAGTGGCTGGTCTCAGATGGTCCCGAAGGTGAAGAAGCCGGATGTGGAGGTCCTGGACTGGCGTGGTTACACGTGGTCTGCGGTTGTGAGACCGGTTGGACATACTGCCAAATTCTCTAAAACGACGTTGGAGGCGGTTTATGGTAGAGAAATGAACATTCAATTCTCTGGCAACAGCTCTGGTGGACATTCCTGTAGTCAGCATGCCAATTGCACGCTCCCTCAAAACTTGAGACATCTTGATATTCCACACCTGTCAGATGGATTATCTTGGCAAAGGAGAAATGCTCACTAACAGGGATGTAAACAAATGTGTACAAAATTTGAGGGAAATAAGCTTTTTGTGCTTACGGAACATGAAACATGGAACCAACACTTTACATGTTGCCTTGATATTTTTGTTCATTCAACAACCCAAACAAAGTTCAAGAATTTGTAATGTAACGCCATCAAGTGGCTTTCTTCAGGATTATATCAGGGATCACATTTTCTCAATAATCCCATTTAGAAAGCAACACCATGTCTGTCCACCAGATGGTAGTAGAGAACCAATAGTAGAGGTTTTGAACCTCTATGCAACCTTTTCAGTAGCAAGTAGGGAAACCACCACATCATATATTCTTCCCTGATAGATATTAATCTAAGAATCAGTCCTATTGTCCTCCTTACCCATGTTGTCATCCTCTGACTCCTCCTCTTCCTACTCCCATTTCAAATCATTAGCTAACAGAGAGGTCGAGGACTCACTCAGGCTCTTCAGCGGGAAGCAGTGGCCGTCTCCTTGACTGGGCAAAACAGAAACACAGACAGGATGGGGTTAAATATCCATAGTCAGGGGGAAGCAGTGGCCGTCTCCTTGGCTGGGCAAAACAGAAACACAGACAGGATGGGGTTAAATATCCATAGTCAGGGGGAAGCAGTGGCCGTCTCCTTGGCTGGGCAAAACAGAAACACAGACAGGATGGGGTTAAATATCCATAGTCAGGGGGAAGCAGTGGCCGTCTCCTTGGCTGGGCAAAACAGAAAACACAGACAGGATGGGGTTAAATATCCATAGTCAGGGGGAAGCAGTGGCCGTCTCCTTGGCTGGGCAAAACAGAAACACAGACAGGATGGGGTTAAATATCCATAGTCTGGGGGAAGCAGTGGCCGTCTCCTTGGCTGGGCAAAACAGAAACACAGACAGGATGGGGTTAAATATCCATAGTCAGGGGGAAGCAGCGGCCGTCTCCTTGGCTGGGCAAAACAGAAACACAGACAGGATGGGGTTAAATATCCATAGTCAGGGGGAAGCAGTGTCCGTCTCCTTGGCTGGGCAAAACAGAAACACAGACAGGATGGGGTTAAATATCCATAGTCTGGGGGAAGCAGTGGCCGTCTCCTTGGCTGGGAAACACGCATTAAACAAATCAACGCATTAAACAAATCAAATCGTATTGGTCCATACACATATTTAACAGATGTTATTGGTCCATACACATATTTAACAGATGTTACTGGTCCATACACATATTTAACAGATGATATCGGCCAAATACAAATACAGTGCATTCGGAAAGTATTCAGACCCCTTTACTTTTTCCACATTTTTTACGTTACAGCCTTATTATGTGGTCCTCTGTAGCTCAGCTGGTAGAGCACGGCGCTTGTAACGCCAAGGTAGT